TTGTACTCATTCATATGTTGAATCTTTATTTGGTTTATTCAAACTTTCATAAAGTGTATTTCTAATATATATTAAAAATCCAATAGGAAGACTTCATAGATTATATAGTTCTAGTTGATGATTTATTTGCTTCTGAAGTGAAGAAGCTACAAGCAGAGCAATTTAAACCAATGGAGCAAGTCACCCTTGAAACCTTTAAAAGAGACCTTGCTTGTGGTGTTGGAGCCTCTATCGGGTTCCAAAGAAACCAAACCCACTGCTTAATATGTATTGTGTTTAAAACATGTTCACATTTCTTTAAGAAGTATTCTATTGGTTTAAAACATGTTCACATTTCTTTAAGAAGTATCCATGGAAATCCCTTACAAATTAAGTCCCATAAATTACCAAACAACCCCATCTTCAAAAATCTTTACAATTTAGCTCCATATGTTACCTCTTTAGCCCCCAATATCTTAATTATGACATATTCAGTCCTTCCACCTCTTTTCCTTTCAGATTAAATCCAAATAATTACCACATAGCCGATGTCCTCATAAATATTTACAAACTGAGTCCGGAACTCACACTTTTAACCTCTGACTTCTAAAATTATGACAATAGCCCTTCGAGATCGTCCTTTGATATATAATTATTTATTTTAGGGCTACTATTCGTTCATTAATTAATTTATTTATTTACTTAATAAATGGGATGTTGCACCCTTCTTCTTCCGTATCATCGTGGTTCGCCGATGCCACGTCCCAGCTCGTTTGACGCCGCCTGTGCAATCCTCTTTCTGATCCAGTCAACATCTACCACCCGGAGGGAGGCTGTGTGTGTGCTTCAGTCGTGTGTCGCAGGCATGTGGGTGTGTTGTGGTTTTTGTTCGACTGTCAAAGCTCGTTTGGCCAGAAGAACCCCGTGAAGAACCACCATGACGACCAACCATGGTGGTTGTCGCTGTCAACTCCGCTATTTTCTAAAATAACTTAATTTCTAGATGTTATGTTGGCTAAATTTTAGAATAAGAATTGTAATTAGTTGTTACTATGTCATAGTATCCTAAAAGTATCAAGAACCTAATAATTACACACACACACACACACACACACATATATATATATATATATAATAAAATAAAATTATATCAAAAGGAAACGTAAGGTGGTGGCTGATGGATTTAGTGTGCGCTAAGATGGACGATGACATAGGGGTGTAAGTGAGACAAGCCAACTCGCGAAAAACTCGAGTCCGACTCGAAAACTACTCGAAATCGACTCGACCTTAATTGAGTCGAGCTCGAGCTACTCGAGTACCTTATCGAGCTGAGCTCGAGTACTAAAATACTCAACCATAAAGTTCGCGAGCTTAGTGCAATTTACATATATGCTATTTATTTATAATTGTTCATTTATAACATATACATCATTTATTTATAATTATTCATTTATAACATATATGGTTGATGTTATATTGATATTAGGTGATTAATAGTTTTTTTTTTTTTTTTTTTTTTTTTTTTTTTTTTTTAGTTTGGACATTTGCATGTGGAATGTTTAATATTTATTACTCAATTTAATGATTTTGATTTTTTTTTAATATTAGTCGAGCCGAGCCAAACCGAGCTCGAGACTGTTGAGTATTTCACGATCCAGCGCTCGAGCTTAAAATCAAGGCTCGACTCGAGTTCGAACCGAGTTTTGAGCTCAAGTATTTTAGTCGAATCGAGCTTCGAGCTTGGTAGTATTCAGCTCGACTCGGTTCGTTTACACCCCCAATTCTAAGGTTGTGATGAAAAGTTACGTAATTTGTCTAACAAAACCATAAATATAGTCATTAGTTTTTGTTATTTATTTAATTTTTGTTAGTCGTATAACTACTTGTGTGACCCATGTATTACATGAGTTAATTTATATATATATATATATATATATATATATATATATATATATATACCCATGTATTACATGGGTTAATTTATATATATATATATATATATATATATATATATATATATATATATATATATATATATATATATATATATAATTATGTATTTAATATGATTGCTTAAAAAATAAGGGTAAAATTGCAATGTTGTCGTTTTCCCTTTTTCTTTTCTTTTTCTTTCAACTCGGAAACATATTTTTTTTAAAGTTTCCTTCCATTTCCTTGGAACTTAGGAACCAAAAAAGTTATTTATTTTGTTCCCATGGCTTTCTTTTCTCTCCATATTTTCATTCCATTTCTTTTCTTTTCTTTACTTAAAGTCCGGAACTAGGAACGGTGAAAGTTTAGTGTGTGTTCCTTTTATGACTTATTATCAAAACAAAATCCCCTCCAGGCTTGGACTTCCATGTATCAATTTTATTTTGGGGTTGTGTTCCTTTTTCAACGAAAGAATTTATTTTGCATAAATATAGAGGAGGTATTGAATGGTATTATTGCAGGGAAATATTAATTGTTTTCTAAGTTATTGTATATTTTGGTGCCAAAAGATGTATCACGAATTGTTGATCAAATTGTAAAAAAATATTGCTAAACATTTATAGCATAAACTAACAAAAAAAAAATCAATATATATATATATATATATATATATATATATATATATATATATATATATATATATATATATATATATATATATATATAACAATAAGTAGGATTTTTGTGTTTTATGAATATTGGCCTTTTTCTTTTGTTGAAAGAAATAAAAGAAACATGGCACCTTTTTAAAAAAAGTGCTAAATAAGCCCATGTAGGGGTGTTATTCGGTCGGTTTTTTTGGTTTTCGGTTTATACGGTTCGGTTTTATTGGTTTTTTTACATCTTAAAACTAATAATAACCAAACCAAATAAGATTCAGTTTAATCAGTTTTGGTTAATTCGGTTACGGTTTATTCAGTTTGGTTTACCGGCTAAACAAAGTAAAATTTTGCATGTAAAAACAAATATTAAATTAAAAGATTTTTTTTTAATGAAGTTTTACCACATGATTAAAAAACACTAATACACAACATATTATATTTAGTCTTTTATGATATGTTGTCTTAAAGAATCGATCTAGCCACATAAGTTATAGATTATTTAATATAACTTTAGACATATATGAAGATGAAATAAATGATCGAAGATTAATTGACATTTGGTTATTTAGTTGTTGCTCTTTAATACAATATGTAAACAATTATAAATTTATAATAGTTAATAACTAAATAATGAGTTATGAAAATATTTTTTAGTAATAATCTATCAATTTAAATATAAAATGTTAATTTATATATAAACTATAAAAATATATAACAGTTAAATAGTTTTTTTCGGTTTAACCAAAATCATAAAAATTTAATCAATACCAAACCAAAAACCAAATCGAATTAACCAAATAATCCGAACCAAATAACTTTAAAAATATATCCATTGGTGATGAACTCTGGGTGTGCATCTTTACCCATAAGTCGTAACCTATATTTGGCTAGGCCCAATTTGTAATCTTATCAAAACACAAATCGGATCCTGTTTATTCGGAAAGCCGACCCACACCAGTTACGGGTTGGCGGGAACTTTTACCGCCTCTTATGGCATTAGGGCTCCAAAAATATCAGTCCAAATTAAAGAATGTTCAATCTGCGCCTCTGCATCACCGATCGTCTCCCCGAAAATCGTCTTTGATAGACTCAGCTCACGGCAACAGGTTGGTGATGAAGTCTTCTATTTTTCTTTGTCCGATTGTGTGCTTGTGTTGTAAAACTCTTTGATTGTATCCTTGTTATGTGCTTTCATCAGCTAACAGTATATGTCTAGTTTTCTACAAAATTTGCTATATGTCGATACTGGTAATGGAAACATACCGGGTTTGGCGTATAGGCCGCTTCATCGGGTGATTCACAAGAAAACACTTTAGAAACCCCCTTTCTTTTCTCTCTCTATGTACTTCACATTTTAGTAGGGTTCGGGATATGGACCGCTGTTTTACTAATCGTGATTCTGTCGTTTAATAATCCTGAAAAATATGCTACACCATGACTCAACTTAATTTGCATGAACACCACATGTTCGATAAAATGCATCTGGGGTTTCTGCTGTTCTCTTTGAGGTCTATACTCTATATACCTAGTCGTCTAGCTGCTTGAAAGTTATTTGGTTTCTAAGTTGAGTGGTTGAATCGGATCTTGAAAACCTTTTGCTGTTTAAAGTGTTTGTAGGAGATGGATACATCGAACCCAGCTGTCCTTGTCAATGGTGATCTGCTTCGCAGCTATGTGGGCCGAAGAGTACGGACAGTGATTCAGGTAGTAAGACCTGATGGTGGTGGACTCATTGGGAGATCGACAGATGAAAAGCAAATTTCTGTAAAGGGTCACCCTCCATCTGTTCTTAATACTTTTGTTGAAGTAATTGGTGTTGCTGATAGTGCACAATCTATTCGTGCAGAGATAGTGACTAACTTTGGTGATACTTTTGGTATGGCTTTTCCCCCAATACGAATTGTCCATTTTATCTTCAAATCCTAATGAATTAGTAAATATGTGTTTAATTTCTAATTTAACTGGTGCTTGCTAGTTATGTTATAATATGGGTTAAAAGCCATTACATAATTCATGTAAAGGTGATAATAGCTACAAATGCTATAAAACAAGTGTCATTTAAGTTCTACTTTTACTTTTTTTTTTATCTGTGGAAAATTTTAAAATGTTTAAAGATTCCTACTTTTGGTTAAAAGAATCACCATTGATGTGGGGAACCATAGTGCATCAAAAAGACACCCACCACAAGTTTGAAATACCAATTATGATTTCATTCTCTTTAATTGATTTTTTTGTTTATCATATTGATTGATATTTTGCAGATACAAATAACTTCAACCAACTTTGCCAACTTGCTAATGGAGAGTTTAGGCACTTGTTTATCTGAAGAGGACAAAATGGAGTCTTGTCTACTTTGATGAATTTAAATGAACTTGGCTAGTTATTTTTATATCTTAAACTTTGGTGACATTTGGTAATGGTTGTCTTGTGGCTTTATTGCAAAGTTGAAAGATATTATGCACTTTGTGGTACATTAAACATATAAATGCATCATGTATCTAGTCAAAACTCAGGTACATTAATGATTAAACAACCATTATCACAAGAAAAAGATAAAGTTATCTCATTACTTTTACATAATAAACTACATAAATTATGTAACTTTCTAAATCCTACTACTTGGGTTCTAACAGCATCTCCTAATATACATCCATTCTCATGTTACATCCACAACACATTTTTTCCGACTTATTAATCTTAAATCACAACTGCAAATAACAAAAAACGAATTTAGTCATAACAATGAAACCAATCAGAAATAAGTAAAGTCAAGAAATTACCTTCTCCACTAGCTTTCCAATACTGATACGTCATCAGGCGGGTCGACCCAAATACTTTCAAATGGATCCTGTTCGCCCCAATCATGACACTGTTTCCGAGGGTAATATCGTCTATGATCAAGAGAATAAGATATACACCGTTTCCCATAAAACCGAACTTTAGAGAAATAAACACAATTCCTCATCATACCCAAAAGATCCGTTCTTGCATGTGACGACAAAAAACTAGCGAACAATGTCACACCTTCAAGCGTTTTCATTTCTACCCACTCTTTATTTTCTTGATCTAACTTATATATAATCGGGTTTTCACTATAACATGTGTAAATAACAAAAATATCACCTTTATTTTCCGCCATAAACTTCCCTTTCCACCAATTTTTCACAAAGAAGTTATCAGGGCAACGAGGTGGGGGGACAATCCGGATGCTCCATGTGTGCTCTATCGGGTCATAAACTCCAAGCCATCCGGTTAAACTCAAACAGTAAAACAACCCGTTACAGAAAACAAGTTTGTTCCAAATACTGCTAACGAATGGCAACCGATTATGGTAGTTTACAGTAGTCCATTCGGTTGCATTTGGTGAACAGGTGCTAATGGCGACGACTGTAGGGCTGACGTGTTTGACTGTGAAAAGAATACAGTTTTGGGATTTGGGGGAGTTTGAAAAGGCGACGATTTGGTATGTCATTTCGAATCTTGGTAGTTTAATCATTTCCCTTGTGAAGGGATTAAAGAATAGGACGCGTTGTGTTCTTGGCTTGTAGAGTAATAACCATCCGTCTTTGTTGTAACAGATTCTGCATCCATGGAGTTGTGGTAATTCGAGAGAGTATGTTTTGCGTTTTGATGGGTCGTAGAACTCGAAGAGGTGGCCGAGTTTTGGGAAGTACATTAGCCATGGCGGTTTGTTGACTTTTCTGACTGATAAAGCGACTGAAAGCCATTTTTTGCAGACGGAAGATGTGCGGATGTTGTCTTTTAGAGTTAATCGGGAGATTATGAGTTCGAGAAGTTCAGACGGAAGGATTGACCATGATTCGTGATGATCTTGCTCGTCTTTTTCTTTCGTTGATACTCTTTTATCATCCTTGAATGTTTCAGACAACCTACAAACGGAAAATTTTAAGAATTATTTTGCGAAACGAAAAGAGTTGAATTCTATGAAATGCAGACGAAAGTCACGAAACCAGGATCTACATTTATGATCTATAGACTATAGAAAGAATTGAATGATGAAGGAGAACGGAAGCACAGAAATTCTCTGTTGCCATTTAAAAATACCTGATTCATACACTAAACAGTAACGTAAGGTACGTAATCTAGTAAGAAGATAAAATATAATCAACTCAGATCGAACATTGAGAAGATAAGCTTTTACTAGAAACCCTAAAACCTAAAAACCTACACCTGCCAAACTTTATAAATTGTCGATGAATGAACAAAAACCACTATTTGTCACATACGTATACAATCCAATCAAGCAATTACAGAAAACGCAACAAATTCCATAAACTCCAGCTGAATTACGACAATATGTAAATTACCAGCAAAACGCACACACACTACAGTTAATTTGTACCAAAATCACTTGAATTGAACAGAAACTGTAGCAGGATTGTAAGTTTAAACACGGATCTCATGTGTATAACCCTAAAACCCAAATTCATCAATAAACCCAACGATAATTCAAACTCCAAACATAAAACAGTAAGGAATCCTCAAATCGAATTGGATTTCAGTCTTTCACTTGGAATTGTTGAAGAGGAAGAGGACTTACAATCGGTGTTTCCTTCTCTTCCTTCCTGCCATAATTGCGAACAGATTAAGCTAAGCTCCTCCCACCACCAGTGTCTGTGTGTTTTTGTAGAGAGAAAGATATGTTGAAGAGAGATGATGAGAATGGGAATGACTGTTGTTGTCACGTTATGAAAGCACCTAGGCTTTGTTACTACAACACGTGTACACAAAGGACTTATCTGGTGAGACGGGCCGCAGGGTACGTGGTAGTGGTAACTAATGGGATTGTTAGGTGAAAGATTAAAGGATGAGGTGGCAAGTTTTAATTGGTTGAGGAATGAGGGTGTTTGGAATACATTCGGTGGTCATCTCTGGAACTACCGTCACATGTGGGAATCGACAACCTGGGTGCTGTCTATCCGCTTGTGGGTAAATCTGTAAATGATCCAAGCATGATGTGGCAATCATTCTTTGCACCTTGATAAAAGTCATTACAGAATAAAAAAAAATGTTAATTATTTAGATAAACTCATATTATATTTCCTTCCACATCATAGTGAGGACAAGTTCAAAGTTCCAACTATTTTTGAATAAAAGCCTTCATTGTGAAAAATCATCAACAAAAAATTATATTCATATAATTGGGGATCAAAATCACTTACCACTTCCCTCTCCTTATTTCAGACATCTTTAACCAAGAAGATGATTATTTGTCTCAGTTTCAAACTCGCATATCAGAGTGATCAATCCAAGGCCGGTATAGCATATTCGAACCAAGGCCCAACAATTTTAAGGGCCCAAAATCATTTATGTTTAAATAGCAAGTATCTGTATCATTATACTCTATCTCATCCAATGTAGAGACTTTATGAACAGCGTTTTATTAATTTAATACTAATTTATTATTTATTATTAAATAATAATTTTCTACCATTTTCCCAAGTTATGTCGGAGATAGCGACGTTTCTATAATTCTATAGCATCCTTATTATTAAATAATAATGTTCCTATTTAATGTAAACATGTTTAATGGACCATGTGATTGGAGCTGAAAAATGTTCCATGGGTTTTGTAACTGTTTCAAAGTATTTTCTACAACCAAACATTAAATTTTCATGTACGGTTAGATACACCAAACAATCTAGGGAATTAAATACGCCACAAGATTTGTTTGTGGATACATGTTGGAGATGTTTTTGGTCCTATAACATTTCCATTCAGTGCATTGAGGCCACAGGTCCCATAAACTATCGTATAGCAAAATATTTAGATATTTAGCTACTAATACTGAATATGAAATAATGAAACAAATTTTGGGTTTCTTTTTTCCTTGAAACATATTTCATCGATTTACAAGATCTAGAAAAAAGGTTTGTTTTACATGTTTCTGGCACACAATTATTTAATAGGTTTATCTTCACAAAGCACTTTCACATTTTAAATATAATGGATAAAGGAAGCTGGTTTTTCTCAGCTACCTACAAAGAAAGTTAAAAGGATGTATTATAAATATATTGGGAAATGAGAGTGCTGGTTGTTGATACTTTTCGATACATACATAAGGCAAAGAAATAGGTAGAGAATATATGTTGTGGTTGTGTGTACCATTAATGTTTCATTTGTTACAGTTTTGTCCTTAAGTATGGATTATAAGTGAAAAGCAATGTGCAACGACATCACTAGTCTTTTACTATAACCATTTCAAATCATCATAAAAAGAAATTTTACCCACTACAACATCTTCAAGGTTTCAAGGAACAAGAAGAGAGGGTTCACCTTTGACGATTGGACTAAAGTAGTTTTGAATCCCTCCTTGTTGCCTCTAAATTGAAACCTTCAATATATATTCAAACCCAATACATTCTTTATTGGGACTTGGGAGTTTATCCTTTGTTTCTCAACCACTCAACAACTATGATGGTGGTTATTTGAAAAAGAAAGGGCCCATGAAGTTTTAGCCATTTTTTTCTTCAAAGATTAGGCCATTTCAAGCTTGAAACATACGGGATTCAAATCTAGATCAATTCTATTTTAGATTGTTTTTATACTAAACGATAGAGGTATAGCCTTTATGTATAATCATCGTGATCTATCGTTTTCTATTTAAAATTTCTTGATTGAAGCAATTTACCGTCAAATAGGCCATTATATTATTGTAATAAAATACTAAATGAGCAAAACATAATTTTAATGTCGACTTCTAATTTATATTAGTTAAATATAGAAATAGCTTTGTCTAGCCATTTGGATTTTTATCGGCAAACAAAAATCACTTATAGTAATTCACTAGGTATGAAATCCGAAATGTTCACGCGTTTATTAAAAAAAAAATCAATGTCAACTTTTTTACATTAAACAATTATTTACTGAATGCCAATGAATTTTGTCAATATAGATTGAATTTACAGATTTAAATAAGAAAGAAAACAATTTCCTTGCTGGTATTATTTATAGCAATTATTATGATTTATGTCATTTATTATAAGATTTAAGGGAACACTTTATGAGTATGTGGCATTTGCTTGTTCTAAACAAATAAGATAATTACAGGCGGAAAGCAATAAAATCTAAAAATATGAGAAAATGTCATTTGACAAAATCAAAGAGAAACATCTTTATTTATTAGGGAGGATATCCAATTAAATTTACCATGACGAGAAAACTATGTCCACTTGCAAAAAAATTTATATAATTAAGTAGAAAAACATATTGTAACTAACACGAGATAATTATAAGTTGTATTTTGAGTTTCTTTAACGAAATAGATTTTAATAAATAAGTAATAAGACGCCACAAAGAACAAATTACAAATTTGAAATAACTAAACAACTATTGTGTAACCAACCAATACAACAATTTTATCATTTTGCCAATAACCCGACAAAACTTAATTGCAAACAATACTCCAAGTCATGCTTAGAATTTGGAAGTCAATTGAAAATTTCAATCATTTCAGTCAGTGTATTATTTTCTACACCATATTGAGAATTATATACATTTTTTTTGAAAAATAACATCTTATCTAATTATTCTCACTATTTTTGCCCATAAAACCTAACGCAAATCCGCAATCAACCAAATATTCTAGTTGTTTTATACTATATCCGTATAACGTCCTCGATTTGATCGTGCTTCATGCAATAAGGGTTGAGTGACCGGGTCTTTTCCATCTCTTGCATCCCTCTAACTATAACAGTGGAAACGATCATCTTTTTCATTCATCCTATCTCACATTTTTTTCTTAAACTATTAAAAAAAATTGAAACTAATAAAAATTAAAAAAGTTAAAACTAGTAATTAAAACGATATTCTTTTAGTAAAAAAACAAATCCAAACGAAGAGCATAAAAAAGCTAGTTGTCGAGGTTGAGTATGTATATTTATCATGTATGGAATATCTTCAATGAGATTTGGTCGCAAGTTGTGAGTTTCTTTGAACTTATAAAGTGTTCATGGTATTGAATAGTGGGAGCGAATTTTTATTGTGAAAAAAATAAGTAGATTAAAATAATATCTATAGTGTTATTTAAAATAATTGAAAAATAGAAAAAGTAACCACCGGAGGGAAACCCGAAGGCAGCGGTTGAAAATCGAAAGCAAATCGAGTTCAAAAATCATAGTTCTGTGTAGGGATGAGCATCAGAACCGAGTATTCGCTTTTGGAACTGGATCCGCCTCGGAACTGCCGGTTCCGGTTCTGGAACTGCTTTAAGTGGTTTCGGTTCCTAAAGTTATTGAACCGCCTTAATCGGTTCCGGTTTCAATTCTCATTTTTTCGGAACCGCTATCCGCTGGGTACCCGCCGAAACCGATATATATATATATATATATATATATATATATATATATATATATATATATATATATATTAGTTTATATATTAGTTCAAATAAAAACAATAAATAGTGTGACAACATAAAAACACTATGTTTACGCTATTATTTTATAATGAATGTTGTATATGTATATTGTTGAAATAATTCTACTATGAATATTAACGTTTAATTATTCATATATTCATTAGAATTTTATTATTCTATTATAAATTTATATGTGTGCATTTTTGTAGTAAATTTTAATTTTTGTTTTAACTTGTGACAATTCATTTATTCATTGCTGAATAATGACATAAAGCTGTGGATACAAAATTCATTGCAGTATAATAACATAAAAATAGTATTTTTACATTCTCACACTATTTACTATTTTATTTGAAGTATCCCATATATATATATGTATATATATATATATATATATATATATATATATATATATATATATATATATATATATATATATTAACATTTCATATAAATATATGTGTGTTATTTAGACCAATTTAGAATATAGTGGTTCGATTCGGATCGAACTAAGTTGTAGTTTTACCGATAAAAGTTAACAAAGTTAATGTAACCGGGTTACCCGCTCCCGGAACCGGAACCGCCGGTTCTGGGACTGGTTCCATATATTTAAGGAGCGGTTACGGTTCCGGTTCCAGTTCTCGCCAAATGAGGCAGGTACCCACCTATGCGCATCCCTAGTTCTGTGAGTCTTGGGCGATGTATCTGCCGGTTTCACTCTTGTAGCTTGCCGGTTTTGTCTAACCTTAAACTACTTTCATACATAATCAAAACCAACCTAACTATCTATTAAAATGTTAATTCCTCTATCTTTTATATATACAACATAACTAAACCCAAACTTTTACTCTCATTAACAACTTAGACTAACCTAAAAAATAATATTAAAAAATAATAAAAAATACATTAGTCTCTATTTATAGAGAAAAACAAGTTATAAATTTAAATGTATTTTGTTCTTTCAGAAAAATACAACATATTTGTGATTTATAAAACTTGTTTGATAATAAAGAAAGATGGCAATAATGAAAGTATTCGAAATAAGTCAACCGACTTATTTTTGTTGCACCAACACCACCGGTCATATTATTGTTTTTTGGATACACTTTTCATTTTTATTTAATTATCAACCCAACCAACTAAAGACAATTAGCCACCAATAGGAGTGGTCTTATAACGGGGAGGAATAAGTTTGTGGTGATTGTTTGAAGAGTATGGAGAGGACCGTGTTAGACATTGGGGTATAGTAAGGCTTGAAATTCTGAGAATTGTGTAAAACACTTTCAGATTAAAGCATTTGGGTAATACTCTCAATATTCTTTAATCAGATAAAACTTAGAGAGACAAGAATTTAGAATGTTTTGATGATAGTTTCGTATGTACTAGAAAATGAGACCAAAACCGACTTTATGATATTTGTCTGAAAACTATCACATGATATTTTCAAACGGTCATAAAACTATATAAACTGACATAAAAACGGAAATTTGGATAAGGGTCAAACAATGATCAATTATATGGAAATCCGA